GTATATATTATATTATATTTTTCTGACAATAGATCCTCCTAAATGTTCACACTGGAATTTTTTTTGTTGGTAGAAAGTAGAGGTTCCTCTGTTAAATTATTTTGAAATAAACCAGCAAAAGTGTCTGATTTTGGCAAATCCAGAAAATTGCATAACTGACAAATCAAAGCACTACATTAAATTAAAGTACAGTCCTAAGACATTATTATTGATTTGTAACATTGCTCACAAAGGTCTAAAGGAAGAACTACCTACCGACAAATGTATGTTGTCTCATGGTATGTTATTATATTGCATACCTCTAGTAAAACCTGTAGTTGTATCCTGAGGCTTTTTCTGTTTGTAACTTCAGTAGAAATAAAGAGGTAAGTCATCTACTCTTGGCTCTTGACTGGATTATGGAATTCACATTGAACAGTTTTCACTGTAAAAGTCTAAATATAAATCAATATAAAGCACAAATCAATAAGTACGAGTGATGAATTTGAAATGAGCATCTTCAAATGACAGAAACTAATGAATTAAACCTATTGAGTGTACAAATGTGCAGTGACAGTGGATTTATTTCTGAACTTACGTAATGCCTATTGTTATTGTGAACTGTATTTCGGTATGAGGGTGGGAACCCACCACACAGATAGCCTACAGGTAGCTTAAATCAATACTGGCTGAGCTTTGACAGTCTTATTGCTTTACCGCCAGCTGCTGTTTACGTTACATTATCACACTTATATATGTCTAACAAATTCACGTGTATTGTTACATAGTTATTCATGAGAAAACCTGAGTAAATTCATAATAAAAACTGGTTTGGAGTTATTTTCCACGTACAGCCGGGCTTACCTTACAATAGTAGCGACTGTTTATTGACTAAAGTTCGCTGCTTCTTGTTCCAAATGTGTTTAAGTCCTTTCATTTCCCCAGTCGACTAATAAAACCACAACACACACTTACCCTGCCTCTGGGTTCACTTCTTCGAGGAGAAAGGGTTTGGCAGGCGAACAACTTTTCAGTCAACAGCCGAAGTTTCTTGGTCTTCCTTGTCAAAGCAGGAAGTAGCCTACTGAATCCATTCTGACTCCAACTCCCATCAACCCACGGGGCAAGACGTCAGAATGAACGCCAACTCAAGTCTGACCGCAAAATGTAAAACCTTTGTGATCTTACTGTTATAAAATATTGATGCAGATTTTGTCTTGCTTTGGTAGAATGTATTGATTGGTCTCCTAGAAGAAGGCGTACAGAGGAACATTTGTGTGTACATGATTAATCTTATTGATTAATCTTATTATTTTACCTGCCAAATTCCATATTCATGAATGTAAATGTACTGGTAAGAGACCGAGCTTTGTTGCCTTCGTCAGGGAGTTCAATACATTTATTCATGAATACAACTCCCCTTGCATTGCCAGCAGCAGTCAGGTGCTGGCAGGTCGCAGGACCACGTAAAACATCTAAATAAACCACCACACTGTGATTTATTTAGGCGTCAACAACGCGCTGCAAATACAGATTTTTTTTAAATACATTCTTACACTCTTTAAAACGAAAAATCAATTAAAACTATAGCAGCCTGTATTATATATTTATTTTGTAGAACCCCCCCAGCAACATTTGTCTTTTATTTTTTTGCTTCCTATTATTTATGTATTTATTCCTCTTTTATTTTATATATTGTGTTTCTTAGCACATGCTCTCAGTTTTTATACATGTAAGCTCTTTATTATGAGAAATAAAGAGGGGGAAAAAAGGTCTGAACACAAGATGGCGGCATTACGACAATCAGAGAAAAACAGTCTGTTTTGTTGTCCAATTTCAGAGCTCCCTTTTAAAATGCCTCGTCGTCAATAACTGTGTACACGAACTGTTATTTGATATTCTGTGTTTTTACTGGGTTTGTGTAGATAAGGCACTCAAACAACAAAGGAAGAAATAAAGCTCTTTTAGGTCGTTCACAAACATAGGCCACTGCATTTGGTGTGGACAGAAGGGTGCTGAGAGAAGAATCGATTCTAATTTACATGAAAATGAGGGTGAGCAGGGCGGGCTGAGGTGGAGGGAAAGAGAGAGTGACAGGAGGATAATGAAAAAGGGTAAGATGGGGAGAAGAAGGGGAGGAAATGGAGAGAACTGGGAATGAGGGATAAAGAAAAGGTAAATTGTAGGCAACAGTGAGGTTTTAAAAGGACAAGGAAAAGATGTGAGGCAAGACAATGAACACTGCGCACACACATAGACACAGAGTGCCACAGGGAGGGAAGGTTAGACAGAAAGCATGAGGACTAACACATCGTTTGTTTTTGTCTTTTCATGGTTGAACACAAGAAAAATATAGAATGTCAAAAGCAGCAGTGGGGTCAAATCCAGAGTCCTGGATCCAGTTTATTGTGGCCTCAGGTCTTCTTACTCCTCCCATGGTGAACGTTTGGCTTTTTGATTTTGTGTTTTTCCTACCACGGCTAAGCAGATGACTTTTTCGCGGTCTGAAACTCAGGTGGCTGCACGTGCTCTCTCTCTCTCTCTCTCTCTCTTTCTCTCTGTGGATGTATGCTGCACTTCCTTCCAGGGAAGTCATCTCCCTGCTATGACCTCTCCATTAACATTGAGAACTCTGTGCTCTCTGCAGCTCTGAATGCAATAAACCTGGGTGTGACACTGATTGACCAGGTGCCCTATGCTGCTCACATCGCTGCAACATCACAATGCTGTAGATTAATGCACCACAACATCAGGAGGATACGTCTCACCCCTCACCCATGCGTTTGTCATCTTGTGTCTAGACTCTAGACTACTGCAACTCTCTCCTGGCTGGCCTGCCTGCATACATTTGCCAGTTTACTTCTGCAGCTCATCCAGGATGCAGCAGCCGAGCTGGCCTTAAACCAGTGGCTGCTCAAATCAGATTCAAGACACAAGTTCCGTGCTGCAGATGGTTCAGGCATGTCCTAAATCCAGGACATGGTCAAACCATAAACCCCAGCCCCTCCACTATGCTCCTCTACTGCCAATAGACTTACTACTCCCTCTGCTCAACAAAATTATGACTGTTTAATGGTGAAACAAGCTCCTTATTGACATCGGGACAGTGGAAACTCACATCTTTGTCGCAGACTGAAAACCCATCTGTTCAAACTGCTGCTCGGCCCATTAAAAGAAAGAAAAAAACAAACAAAAAGCTCCTCTTTCTCTATCTCTCATTGCTTCTAAATGCAGCTATTGCAGCAGTTAGATTATTATGAAGTAGCAGCATGATTCTTGGAATGTTTTGGTTGTATCCACATGGCTGAATCACTTATTGTAAGCAGCTTTGGGTGAAAGTGTCAGCTAAATGAATGTAACATAATGGACGTGTGCATCTGTTTTTAGTAGTCAATGAACACACAGAATGTGAAGAACCCAGTGAAAGATACCCAAACACCTAGGAAAGGAAGTCAATCTCTGTTTATAATTTTCCACATGGAACATGGAGGCAGCTGCACACACAGGCTCGCTCCATCTAAAGACTTCAGCTCAATGTGTCATTAGGAATAAGGCCCTTTGTTAGCTACAGACAATACACTCCTAACACACACAGACACCCTTCTTAATCCACTGTAATGTTGTGTGTACATGTGTGAAATTGAGAAAAAGACACTTGATTGGAGCATCCAGAGGTGCCCAGGTCCCTGTTGGCATGGCAACATGCAGAGCAGACCACAGGGGGTGGTTGTAGGGGGAGGGGGACTGGAGCGGGTGGACTGTTCCATCTCAGTGAAAATGGACAACGGTATTTATTCAAAGCATTTATCTTTATTGGATGATTGGCCAATTAATGAGAATGAGCCAGCTGTAATCTGCTGAGAATAAAGCAAAAGGGAGAAGAGGCAAATTGCCAGCGAGTGCTTCTGTGTGTGTCTGAATGCCTGCACATCTGCGTCTGCTAGTTGGGGGAGCATGCAGCTGCCTGTGTGTTAGTGGTGGTAAATATGAGAGTGAGAGAGCAGGATCAGACGCTCTAGTACTTCCTACTGTGCAGGGGGATTCATTCATCTTTTCCATTAAGTGAGCCTCATAGAGTGACAGCAGCAGACACTCACGTGCAAACAGACACACTTCTCAACATCATGAAGTCTCAGTCACACTGAATTGAGTCCTCTGCACCACCACACACACACGGGGCTTCCCCACAACGGGTGTACTGAGGCAGCTGAGGAGGAGGTGGGATGTTTACCACTAGGGCCAGTCATCCTGCAAGGATGCTGCACTAATGTTTTACCCAACCAATGAAGTGAACACATTTAAATAAAATGTATTTAATATATATATATACACATATATAACTAGCAATGTCTGCTGGAGTTAACAGAGGACAGTTAATAAAAAACACAATAATTTGGTGTTAAATATTTTGCCATAGTAGCAGCATTATCACCAGAAACAAAAGCAAATGAATCATTGTGATGAAGTTAATTCAAAAGATCCTTTATTTAATCTCAATAAATCAAACATGTATCTGCATTAGACTCAAGAACAACCCAGTTTGGGCATTAATTTTATACACAATATTTATAAACTGATTATCTTATAGCAAAGTATTTTAAAACAAAAAATGAGATATCAGTAGTACCACCTGGATTAAAAACAGTTTGTATGATGACCCGCCGATTGGCAGATAAAACTGAAACAGATCTAACATAACTTCTTGTAGAAACTCTGTCTGAAATATTATGAGAGTCAGATTTAAAGTATATATACCACATGTAACAGACACACACACACACACACACACACACACACACAGAGTATTAACACTAAATATTAATTGGTAGATCCATTAACAACAACATTGTTTCCACGGTGAAATGATGGCCTCTTCGCGGTATCAAATCAAACTGCAGCATTCCCCGGAGCCCGCCGATATACTGATGGAGAGCTGCGTCAAAGTATCCAGAACAAAACCGGAATTACATCAATGTTACTTTCAACATAAAAGTATCACAACTCCAAAATCTTTTTATTACAGCAATTCTTAAACAACTGTTTATGTGCAGGTAAACAAAGGTAAAAAAAATGGTAGCAAACATCCATATAAATAATATTTCATATGTTTTTATTAATGTTCTGTAGCTCTTTGAACATCTTATTCTGTTTTGTTTGGCACTCGGTATTCAAATTATTTTGCTGTTCACTTCCAGGACAACCCTTTCATGATATAATATTTTCACAATAAAGATAAGAAGGCCAGTGAATTAAATATGCAATAGAAACTGTCCAAGGTGTGTATGTGTACTGGGATGTCCAAAGTTGGGCCACCCTGGACAAGAAAAGCAGTCTAAATGGATCAATGGATGTTATAATGCTAATGTAGTAATTCTGCCATTGTCTGGTGCTCACAAGTGGAAAAGAAGGCAAGAAAAATGTAATGGAAAAAATTTTCATGCATAACATTGCTATCATCCCCTTCAGAAGGACTGTGAAAAACATTGTTCACCTCTGTATCATTACAATATATTCCCGAACTGGTACTATTTGTCTTGTGACTGTGTTCAAAACAGCGGTTTTCAGAAGAATTCAGATCATTGACCACATTAAAAATACTCCACTACAAATAAAAAACTTGCATTCAAAACCTTACGTAAGTAAAAGTATTAAAAGTACTCGTTATGCAGTGAAATGGTCCCTGTCAGTGTTTTACTATTGTATCTGATGTTTCTGGATTCATATTACTGCTGCATTAATGTGTATGCTGCATAATTTTAACTACTTTGTTCACTGTTGGGTAGTTTAAGCTACAATGATGCATCATATTCAAAAGCATCATATGTTTGTAGCATCACTATACTGTGAGAACCACGCATCCGTAAAAAAATTTCATGGACTCAATGTATTTTCCAACTAATAAAGAGGGTGTTTTAAACAATTTATATAGTTTAAGAAATATGAGAATTTCCACAACCCATAAAGGAGAACATAATCCTTCAGTTTATCATAAAAATTCTAAATCACAACATCTGGAAATACACTGGACAAGAAGGGTGTGAAAATAAAAAATGTATCTAAAAAGTAACTAGGAACTAAATGTGTCAGACAAATACAGTGGAGCAAAAAGAACAACAAATACAATATGCGCCTCTAGAGATGTAGGGGAGTAAAACACGCGCCTTGAACCCGCTTGTACGCGTTAAGGTGTATTAGTTTGAAACGCCGGAGCGGAAGTGCTGCTCCCTCACCCTGTGTAACTTCACATGGACGGCATTGCTCCGTGGTGGGTTTTTTTCTGGGAGGAGTGGGGCAGCAGGCGCAGAGCCGAGCAGGGAAAGAAAACAGCAACAACTAATGGTACAAACCTGGCAGAGTGAGCCTCGGACGGAACCACGCTGACGAAGTTCCTCGGGAAAACCTTTCCTACACCGTATTTTAGGTGACCCCGTCGGTTCACACTTTTAATGACCGAATGAGTGGCGAATAAAGACGGAGGCGGCGACATCAAAGGGACTCCCGGGTCATTAGATATAGCCGTAGCACCGTGCAGACCATTATTTTACACCGTGGCTCGTCTGCGCGGCTCTCTTTATTAGTCCTCCTTTGGCATTTGCTGAGACTGCGCTTTGGAAAAAGGGCCGAACAACCTCTCAAAGCAGGAGTGAGTTAGCTTTGTTACGAGCCAGCTTTGGCCATTGTTGGCGTTTTTGTCGCTTATATTTGACCCACTCTCCATCCCCGCTGTTTGCACGTATGACCGCTCAGATACAAACAAATACCTTTCGTTTTCTTTTGAGGCTTTTCTCCCCCTCGGAACCTCCTGGTTTTGTCTTTTCAGGGGAAGAAAAGATGTGCGCAGGCGCGTCAGGCTACTCTAAAAAACAACAGTATCTTACTATAGGCTAATATTTAGTGAACCGTGTCCTCCCATGCCAAAGAACAACCCCGGTTTAGAGCATTGGTAACCTGAGCTGCGTTTTCTCGTTTTCCTCAGATGAACACATAGTAAAGCTGCTGCACTTCTGTCTCTCTTCCTTTGTTATTCAGACCAAGACAAGCAGCTGAGGCAACGCTGCTCTCAGCTTTGAGACCTGAATGGTTTTTTCTTTTGGAAAACTTTTCAACCTCTCGGTATTTTAAGTGCTGAAAGTTGGAAAAGAAGCCCCATTTTGTAGTCCTCCTCCTCCTCCTCCTCCTCCTCCTCCTTGCTTCCTCCCTCCATAATAAGTGGCACGTTGGGTTTATGGAGGACCAGGCCCGCATGATGTTGGGTCACATTGGACTAACTGGACTGTCTCAGGAGGATGTGGGCGATCCCGACAACATCAGGAAACATCACAACCTGGGTCAGCCGCAGCAGGACATTGGTGACATCCTGCAGCAGATCATGACCATCACAGATGAGAGTCTGGATGAGGCCCAGGCCAGGTAATAATCACAGAGGCACACGACCAGATAAGGCCTGATTGAAGACATGATGTTTAAGAGTTGGAATTTTTGGCTCTGCATGGTTTTACGCACACTTGACACACCGTAATACACTGTAATAACACCCCCCCCCATCCCCAATACTGCTGGAACTGTTGTCCCCTTGTCCAGCTGTGCACCTTCACCCCCACAGGCCTGAACACAAAGCTGAGCCAGCACAGACAGTAGGTGATCTTCATGAGCATTTAAAAGCCATTTGGGAGTTTAACCTAGGGTTTTCACTCCATTTGACCCCTGCTGTAACCAGCCCCTGTGACCCGGGCCCCCGTCACCCTCGCTTCAACACACAAACAATAGGGTTGTTCACGGATCTTAATTGTTTTTTGGTGGTGTGGTGTTTATCAACCGCTGAACATTACAGTAAAATGTTGTAATTTGGTGACACCGTGTCCCGGCCAGACATGTAGGTCAGTTCTCTGTAGTGTCACAGAGCTGCATGATGGTTAAATATTTATTTACTGTCTTGCGTTATCTCACCACAGATTTGAAACACATATTGTACATATGAAGGCTTTGGATTCAAGTAAAGTTAAACAGTCGAATGTAGTTCACTGGTTTGAACATTGTGTGATTTGGCACACATTTACAATATTGTGATACACGTTGATGAAGAGTCTCCCAGCTCAATCACAATACAATCACAATAATTTGCTCAAAATAGTATCAGGAAATACAGGAAATACTACGATCTATAACACCACTTTGTGGCCTTAATTAATCTTAATATAATCCAACATTACTTATTATTACTGTAATACAGTGTCTGTCTTCCTCTCTTGCTCTTAATGCTTCACACTCTTTTTATTCTCTTTGCTTTGTGATATCATTTTTCAACAAACAAACTATTTTACCTGTCTTGGGGATTCCAGTGAGTTTCAGTTTTAAAGGAGGAATCAAATCTGTTCAGTATTTATATGGAACCATGACTAATTGTAGTATTAGTGTATTATAGCAAGTTGAGATAAAACATAATGTACCAAGTTGCACAGTTGAGTGTGAGCCTTTTTTCAGAAGCTACATGAGTGTGTGACAGTATCTGCAAAATCAAACCGCTATGAACTGCCAGAAAACATCAAATTCAGTAAAGTAACAGGAAGCGTACAATACTGAACTGGTGCCAGAGTGTCAGTACAGTATATGATGTTACAACATTGTTTTCAAAGTCTTTCTGCGTGGTTCAGTCTCTTCTCTTTCCTCGCTGAGGTGAGTAAGTTCAGGTGAATTAGACAACTATGTGTTCAGGCCTGTTTTCAGACACTCACTCTTCTCAACTCAGTCTGTCCAGCACCGACTTGCTATGTGTCTACATGATCTATTTCTGATGGGTGTCAGTGCCCGTAACCAATATCATATATAAAGTCTACCGAAGCATAGTGTATAATTCACAGTCTGTCTCTCTCTTTTATTTCCCATAAAAGGAAACATGCTTTAAACTGCCACAGAATGAAGCCCGCCCTCTTCAGTGTCCTGTGTGAGATCAAAGAAAGGACAGGTAAGTGGTCCATTTGTTTCACATGTGCTGATAAGGAAATGTATTTTTCCTCTTTTAGTGCATCTATGGTTGCAGTTGAGGTTAACCCCACAGATTATTTTGAACTCACCGTTTCAGGCTCATAGTATTTTCATCATTTTAGGTGAAACGAGAATATAAGGATAAGGGTTTTAAGGGGAAAACTGTGTATATTTATTTCTAAAAGAAAGCCTTGATCACGTCTGTGAGACTACAGACAGAAAGAAACATTTAAGCAAATCTGCTGTACAATCGTACATGAGTCCAGCTACGGTTCCCCAGCCATCATTCATTTATTGTTACTTATTATTACACTTATTATATTATATATCTTACTTGTGCTTTCAGTGTGTGATGGCATTTTTCTAAAACTTATCCTCTGCTTGATGATTTTTGGTGATGCTCTCCTCCAAACGCACTGCTGCAGAAGGAGCGTCATAACATCAGAGCAGCAGAATTGTCTAATCTGGCTGACTAACATCAGGAATGTGTGGCAGCAGTCAGGATGATGTAATGCTGACATAGCTCCTGTGAATTACAGGAGGAAACTTAACAGTAACAGTGGTAGTTAGAAAGATTTTACACATACAATCTTAACCTAGGTTTCTTTATTTAGTCCCACCCAAATGGAAGGAAATCATCTTTAATAATCTTTTTGAGTGGAGCACTACAGCCTGTAGAATCAGTGGCAAAGAGAGGGAAGGTGTAAAAAGCATTCAGTAGAAAACAGTTTGGAGAGAGTTAAAATTAATAAAAATACATAATAACAAACAAAAATATCAGGAAAACGCATCTCTGATCAATATTCACAAGAAATAATCTGCTCAAAGTTCATCAAAATCTCTGGTTTTACACAAACTGTGTGTTAAACCAGTGTTATCTATAAAATCCCTTAAGGAAAAAGGTTGGGAACTACTCTTTTATACCTTTTTATTGTCAATAAATCTCACAAAACGGTTTGTTCTTCTCTCAGTACTTTCTGATTCCCCTACCCTGTCTGTGGCATTCAAGTTCATTAGTTGCTACTGAAGACATAAATCTTTAAAAAGGGCTCACAAATGTATAGTTTCATGTTTATTTTTAGGCTCAGTAATTTCCTAAAACAGCTGGACGCTGCAGGTTTTGCAGTAAATGTCTCTAAGTAATAAGTTACTTAAACAGAAATAAATATTGCATTTGCTGTTTTCAGAGGTGGATTAGTACACATTAGGTGCTCTAGTGAGTGGTGTTACAGCAGCATGTGGGATTAATTGAATGAAGGAAAACATCATTACAACACTGTGGCCCACTGATGAGTTTTTAATGGTTTTGGACAACAATGGTACAGGAAGAATAAACTATAGTAGGCTTTGGCTTCACAGATACTATACAAGTTGTTAGATTGATTCATTGTTATTTTGGTCTTTGTTGACACAAAGAAACAAACACGCTCACTTCTAATAAGGTGAGCAAGTAAATAAAGGAAAATCCTATAAAGTCAATGACTGCCTGGTGCACATTATTATCTTCCATACTAGAGCTGCAGGTTAAAAATGACCTAGGGACTACCTTAAAAGATAGAACAATTTCAAAACTACATCGACACATGCACATTACTTATATGTATATGTGTGTGTGTGTGTGTGTGTGTATATATGCATATTTTTTGAATGTGAATAAGGCAAGAGACAGTTGTTTCACTTCTGCTTTTAGTGTGTTGTTGCTCCTTCACACTGATCTGACAAATCCATGATTCAATTCCTGATGGAAATTCGTATTGCTCTGAAACACGTTTATTTTTATGTGGTTTTATGGGCTTTCGTGCAGTCTCTATATCTAGACTAATGTGGAATTTTAGAACATATATCACATTTCTATCGCATATAATATTTCTCCCTCGCCCGAGCTTGTGCTGCCTCCCACTTTCTACTGTCATTCCCTTCTTCTCTGTCCCAAGTTAAAACTATTAAAAATAACTCCTCACTTGACAGCGACAGTCCAAAACACTTCTGTATTCTGAGGAATATGTCTCCTCTGGATATATCAGCCCACTTCCTTGTCATCCTATCTCTACCTCTCTTTTCCCTCCTTCCCGAATCCCGATACAACTCTCTATTTTTACCATCCCAATTTTCTGTGAGTTTTCACAGTGTAACCGCACACAAAATAGGACAGAGCCAAAGTGAGAAAACAGAACAAATGAAATGAGAGGCATAGGGACACATAGCTGCAAACACGGGAGGTGCAGACAGGGGAAAAAAAAAGAAAATAGAAAGAAAAGAGAGATAGAGGGAGTAAAAGATAGCAAGGGAGGGACAGATTGATGGATGAGTTGGAGGCACAGGCAGTAATGGTTGTGTTTCATGGATTGGCAGGCAGTTGATAATCTCCAGACCCCTGAGTCCTGTCAGCCTTCACTACAATCAGATTCTCAGTGGGGGACAGTTTGCCACCCATGGCCTCACAAAGCTGGATTGACTCTGTCAGAGCCCTCTGTTCTACGAGGCGTCATGCACTACAGCTCATTTATCTTGTGCACTTGTGTGTGAGCGTGTGTTAGTGTTTGTACACTCTACACAGTCATTGGGCAATCTGGAAGGCTGGCCCAAACTCTTGACTAATTATGAAGTAATTAACAGTGATAGGACCTGCCCCCCTTCAAATATAGCTGTCTTCCCTTTTTGTCTCATCTGCTCTGCTGCTGTTTTCTCTTTCCTGCTTTTACTCTTTTCTTATACGCTCTGTTGCTAATTTATGAGGTACACCTAGCTGAGACTAATGTAGTCTCCTGCAACAAATCCTACCTTCTTGAAGGTTATAATGTTATAAACCATGTTGGAGAGGGGTTGATTCAACTAAATCATTTTGTAGGCTGGAATATGGTGCTGTTGAATTTTACTGCACTATAGTAAGCCCTGTTTATGATATTCACTGTGCCCTCTACCCTGATATAAATGGGATGGACAAAAGAAACCTCTTTTAGAAACACCTCCCAGTATAACACAATATGAATGCAAGTATAATTAATAAACTGAATGTATATTTTACTGTTACAGTAGAAGAATTTCCCCTTTTCGACCTTGTTGTTGCTCACATATATCAAGCGGTTTCTTTCAACCCCCTTTTTTTAATCTTCCTTCACTCAGATGTTCCATTTAACACAAATAGTTAAATAATTGTTAGGTTGAAGCAAGAATGGATAGATGGACTGCATTCATAAAGGACCTTTCTAGTAGCTCGAAGCACTTTAAACACTGATGGCAGAGGCAGCCATGCATGGTGTCAACTGCTCATCAGAAAGAGAAACTAGTGCTCATTCGTACCAGGCACCACACTCACACACCAATAACACAGCCTGCAGGAGCAATTTTGGGGTTCAGTATCTTGTCGAAGTGTCCTAGACATGCGGACTGGAGAGAGCCAGGGATCAAACCAGTGATCTTCCGATTAATGGACGACCCGCTCTATCTAAGCTGGCCCTTAAGAGAGAAGTGGTGGGAAGGAGACATTGAAATTAAGGAAAATTGCCTGGCATCACTAGACTAATTCACAAATGCAAATGAAACACCCTGAGCTCGGCAGACACTTCTGGCTACGCTGCACTATCTGAATTAAAATTTAATTTACCGTAGCTATTTGGCCACAATCATTTTTTAAATTATTTTATTCATTATTTAGTCATTGGTTGAGTTATTGTTCATTTCTAAGTGTTTGATCAGTAAATGCATCACTGCAAACCGCAGTGCAAATGCAAACCTGTTTCTGGCTGGTACACGGCGATGGAAATTTACATACACAGACATTAACATTAATATTATTAAAGCCAAATAATCACATACTCACTACAGGGACATTGTATATTTGAAGTAAAAAAAGTTACAAAAATCTGCAATGGGAGGGAGAAGATCAAACAAACTATTTAAATATTTACACATTCAGACTAACTATTTACATGTAAGATACAGGAACACAATAATCCAGAGATCCGGAGATAAATAGAGAGCTCAAACGTGCCCCATATGCCACCACACCTACTGACTGCCTGCACACGGCACAAGAGGAGAGGGAGAGATGAGAGGGAGAGGTCTCAGCTTTGTTGGCACAAGAGCTGTGGACTGCCATTACTCTGAGCAGCATGCATGGGGATGAATTACAATATCGCTTCCTAGCCTGATAGTCTGAATAATTCACCTAATTTGCTGAGATCATTTTAAAAGTCTAGTAAGAAAGTAGCCATGTTGTCAAAACCGGTTCTATGATTTGTTTTGTGTGTGTAACCACACATTGCGTATAGAACTCGTGTTGGTGCCACCTCACACCTAAGACTTAAAATATATATATTCCATGAGGCATAAATGTAATAATTTCATTTGTAATAATACATTTCTCTACTGTCTCAGAATCGACTCTGTATCTTTGTGTCTCAGGTGCTATTTTTATTGTCAACAGGACACACTTTAGAGTGCTGAAAGTATGAAGGAAGAAGGGAAAAGGGGCTGTAGATATGGAGAAGTGCTTCTCTGTAAACTGTAATCATGTATTTACCCTCATTGGCCATACGTCTGAGAAACAGGATCTTCTTCACATTCTGATCTGTAGCCAAGGAAGACACTCACGTCGGTGAACCTGCCATACTCACTTTGCTTTGATTGTATGTGGCGTGTGTGTGTGTGAGAGAGAGAGAGGCTTTGTGAGTTGTTGGATTATATTGTAATATGGTTAATCTGGCACATTAGGGAGTTAAATGCAGTGTACTCGTACTCATGTAGTATTACATCCACATTACACATATTAACCCATATACACAAGTGCCTGCTGTTATCCGATGGGCAGTGCACTTGCTGTAATATGGTTTGGGAAATGGCCATAATGTCTGGTAGATTTCCAAAATTAAAGGCGATCACGTTAATGTTTGTAAGTGTGTGTGTGTGTGTGTGTGTATCTGAATGCTGTCAGCCAGATGCGGAGGCTGTCATTGCCCTCGTTGCGGGATTATGAATGTGAGACGATCTCTGGAACTACCTTGTAATTGCCAACTAATTTGCATAACTGTGCAAATTAACGACCTCCCAAATGAGCTTTCATTTTTCACTGGGTCTTTAGTCGCTCCTTAAGAGCTGGCGTTAATTAACAGCTGTGTGTGTGTGCAAGGATGCTTGTGTATGTGTGTCTGTATTTCTTTGGGCTTAGAGATGCCAAGGAAACTTGGCATCAGGACCATCGCAACATGTTTTGCTGTCTCTGTGTCTCTCTGTGTCTCTCTGTGCCTCTTCTTTTTCTGTCTCTCCCAGTCCTGTTGCCCCAGCGTACAGACACCACTTAAGACTTGATCTCCCTACTGCCTCCAACGAACAGAGCTCTAGCTGAGGTTTCTAATGTCACCCAGTATTTATAGTCTCTGAAATTCAGCTGTGCTGTCTGTTGGGACTGTATATTTAATGTGATGTAGAGTTGCTCTAATAGTATCGCTGAGGTGTGTGGGGGAAAACGTAATTCCTTTGTTGGTTATTCTAGTGTTTCGCTATCATTACTGCCTTATGGTCATTAGCTGGCTGTTGCTACATGTTGTCTAGAAAGAGATTGGACCAAGCAAAGTGTGTAGGACATGAGATGAGATTAAAAACTGGGGCTCTTCTCTCGACTGCCTAGCGGATAATAATTGATGATTTTTTTAATTGAGTTTTCTGCCTTGTGTTTGACATTTAGAACCAAAAGTAAGTAAGGAATACAATTAAATAATTGGAATATAGTATGTATGTTGTGGTTGTATTGTGAGATAGTGCTCTCTGCTGGCTGTGAAGATAACCCTACTTGTTCTCAAAAACCCTCCCTCAAATCTCCCAGTTTGTACACAACTGGTGTCGGAACACATACAAATTGTGCTGTATAAGAATTGCAAACATTTAACACAATATTTAATGCACACCAAACTAAAAATCAAACCTCATTTTTGTCTAGCAACACCTTGCTGCCTTTCTGTGATTCTTTCATTTGAAGCTGCTAATTATGTAAAATATCTACTAATAAATTAAAACTTGACATACTGGTTTGGAAACAGATTAAAAGTTTGAATGAATGCCTGCAGGTTGTGGCCTAATATGCGCTTATGCTATATAGTCTTTCTAAGTTATGCAATGTGCTTCCTGTTTTTCTAGTTCTGCATGGCTGAGCCAGAAATTTTCAATGAACATTGCAGCAGGATACACAAAGTTATTATTCTGCTTCCTGTGAATACCCAGGGTACAGCAGTAGGTCAGTAAGTCAGGAGGGTGTTACAGTAAATAAAAGTCTACTTTAACTGGAAGATCTGGCTTTAAACAGCCCTGTTTTCTGTTAATGTGTCCATAACTTGAGCGGCTGTGAATGTTTTTGTCCATCTCCACAGCTCTGAGTATCCGAGGCATCCAAGAGGAGGACAGTCCAGACCCTCAGATCATGCGACTGGACAACATGCTGTTAGCGGAGGGAGTCGCGGGTCCGGAGAGGGGCGGGGCCTCTGCAGCGGCAGCAGCGGTTGCCGTGGCAGCCGGAGGGTCACCCAATGAAGGCGGCCTACAACACACCGAATACAGAGAGAAGCTCGCTCAAATACGACAGATGTACCACACTGAGCTGGAGAAATACGAACAGGTGTGGTGATCTTACCTTATGAGGATCAGAAATGTGTTTTTTATTTTGGGTTGCCAGTGAAGCAAAGTTATGTGGGTTTTAGGCATAAGTGGAGTGAGTGGCTCTGAAAACCGGACGGTTGGTTCAGGCTGAAGTGAAGAAGAAAAAAAAAATGTGTTCAATTTCTTCATACCTGACCTGCTCACTACTCCTCCCATACAGGCATGCAATGAATTCACTGACCATGTGATGAACCTGCTGAGGGAACAGTCCCGTACGCGGCCAGTCTCACCCAAAGAGATTGAGCGAAAGGTGGGAATCATCCACCGCAAGTTCAGCACTATCCAGATGCAGCTAAAGCAGAGCACATGTGAAGCTGTCATGATCCTACGCTCCAGGTTCCTGGATGCCAGGTGGGTTTAGTTTCCTGCCTCCTCTTCACTTTATTCTTCCAGCGTGTAACAGTGTACTTACAACACTGTTTGTTTTCTGACGGTTAATTGTTGCAATCGCCCTTTTCTCTCAGGAGGAAACGAAGAAACTTCAGCAAGCAAGCGGCAGAGATTTTGAATGAATATTTTTACTCCCATCTGGCAAACCCGTACCCCAGCGAGGAAGCCAAGGAGGAGCTGGCCAAGAAGTGTTCCATCACTGTTTCTCAGGTTAGGATATTAAAGGCTGCGTTCATACTGCAGGCACAAGTGGCCCAAATTAGATTTTTTGTTTTTTAATCATATGTGTGAACATCACAAATCACATAGAAACTAAACGTATCAATTCTGGCCACTTTCTTATGTGGTCCAAATCAGATACAGGTTTGATATTTTGCAGTGTGAGTCTGATATGGGCCACAATTAACAGATAAAAATAAAGCACACATATACTTAGAAGTGTAATTAGGCCAGTTTCCTGAGTTGTCTTTTGACTGTTTTTACCTCTCTAACTCTCTCAGGTGGCCAACTGGTTTGGAAACAAGAGGATTCGGTATAAAAAGAATGTTGCAAAGCTCCAGGACGAAGCTAACCTGTATACCAGGAAGAGCGCTGCCAGTGTATCTTCACAGGCAAGCCAAGCCAACTCTCCAGCCACACCAAACTCAGGTACACACACACATACACACACATACACGTGAATGAAATCTAAGGTATAGTTATCTCCTCTGTCAATGTAATAAACCAAAGGAGTTTTCTGGTATAGAGTGTCCATAAATCACTTGCTCCGTAATTCAGCGGCCTCTCTCCTGATTGGCTGAATATCACACTCAAGGCTCATCAGACTCCCCCAAGGTCCTCCTTCCTCCAGTTTGGTCAATGCTGACTTCATTTGACCTGATGAGCCAAAGCTAAATGCTCCCTGAGGAAAGGCCGACATGATTTAGAAGCCCGTAAGATGTCCTCACAGATTGAACAAAGCAGGAACAAGATGGGGATTGCTGCATTTCTGTTGTTTGGATGGTACACCAGTGTTGAGATAAAGCCTGCAGTAGAGTCACTGGATTGCTTGTTCCCTGTTTTTCTTTTTTTCCTTTTGAAAACCCGCAGCCGTCAAAAGAACGCAAATAATTTTGATTTGTTTCAGGTATTGTAGTTATCTTTGCTGTCTTGTACAGCGACCTGCTTGACAGGAAAAAAAAGGGTTTAACAAGAAGACAAATTGTCTGTAATTCTGCTCTAATGGGTTAGTTCACCTTTGCTACACAGTGGAGAAGATCTGCCCATAGTTTTGTGTGGCAAAGAATTGCTCTTGATTAACTGTGAGTGGTTTAGTTCGGTCTTCTAGATTCTGCAGCAAGCTTTCTTTGCTTAGAGTTACTTGGTTTCCAATTCTCTATTAATTAGAACTTTTGTTTATTCAACTGCAATTGACGACTGGTCTGACTCACATGATCAACAGCATATTTTTTATACCCGATACGCAGACTGAATTAACCAGAAATACCTGGACTGACCCCGTATCTGGAGCCCCAACCATCTCAGGAAATCCTTAATTTCACTCTAATTTTAGGGTATAGATCTTTTATCATTATCTTAAAGGTCCAGTGTGTAACATTTAGGAAGATCTATTAGCAGAAATGGAATATGATATTCATAGCTATGTTTTCATTAGTGTATAATCAGCTGACAATAAGAATTGTCATCTTTTTGTTACCTAAGAATGAGCCGTTTTCCTCTTCCACAGAGGCCACCACGTTGTTCAAAAACCACCCTGTTTTTACAGTAGCCCAGAACATCACAGTTGTGTGGAAGGCTGAGCTGTCTGTAGTTGGCTTCAGTCTGCAGCTTCACCACCAGATGCCCCCTGTCCTAATGACTTGAGTTGAGAGTGAACTTGTGCACACACATGCACCGTGTCCCAGTTATGAGTTTTATCCCAGTTTAGATTATATGTGGGATATGATGCAACATAAGTACCCTATCTGGTTATAAATAAACAAACTGTGTGGGTCACAAAGTAAGTGACAGCTCTCAGTAAACTGAAACAGTCTGCAGACTATTCTCAAAATCTTGTGTGTGTATATGTGCGTGTGTGTGTGTGTGTGTGTGTGTGTGTGTGTAAAATCCTTGATGTGTTCCCTGTATGCCAACAGGAGGATACCCAGCCTCGTGTTACACTCCTGATGGGAGGTAATGAGGACCTGCCTGAGGATTCTCTTACCTCGTCATGGTCTCCATGTGAGTAGCTATGGTTACACACTGTTGCTATAGTTACACACTCTGCAACTGAGTAGTCATGGTGACAGGCATTCCCTGTGTTAGAATGTGGTGTGGTGCAACAGGGTGATGTACTGCCTTTACAAACACTGCTCGACATCTGACCCTGAACATTAGGCTGTTGTTGAGCCTTAAAGGAAACGTTCACAGTTTGTGCACCGTCCCTTTTAGTTGTTGGTTGGTGGATCTTTAGTGAAACTTCTAATGCACTGAACTTTAAAAAACGGATATATTAACATGGTCAGTGAACCTGATTCTTAACACTCTGTCCCCCTTTCCTGTGTGTTTGTGTAGGTTGATGCTGGCTGGCAGGACAGATCCCTCCTCCCATGTACCCCACCCAGAGGACCGGGCAGCAAGCACTACCACTGATTCTCCACCTTCCCTCCCCGCTCCCCACCCTGCTCCTCAGACTAATACATCCCAGACTGTAGGCTGACCTCCAGCCGAACCACAAACACACTCACACACTCACACACTCACTCACTCACTCACTCACACACACACACACAAAACACACATTTCTGAAACTCTGCAACCTTTTTGTTTTGCTTTGTGAAGCTGATCCTTTTCCCATGTCTCTCCCACAAGTTTTTATTAACTCCCCTACTTAACGAATGTGTTGACACCTATGTTTTTTTTTCTTTTTACAATTACGCATGACATTTTTCTATTTTTTTGAAAGATAAATAATTGATGAAAAGAACCTTTTTTAATGTGTTACCGGAGTGTACTCCAGTAGGAGTAGGAAGGTTTAGGGCCCGTTGTGTGTGACCTTAAACCAGATGTTTATTCATCATTTTATTTTAAAGAATTAAAATTAAACAAAAAAAAAAAAAGCATGTAGATTTTATTATTTCTTTTAAGTTTCTTAAGAAAAAGGTCAGTGAGAGAGTACAACAAATGAGAAATGGCAGAAATGACCAAAAATGAATAAACACATTGTCACTTATTACGTTTTGTATCCTGTGGTGTTGCTTCTGACAACAGCTGGGTTTGAGTTTGTTCCTATGTAAATGATTGTAAAGACAACATTGCTTTAACAGGTAATTATGTTTCTTAAATGCTTTTGAAGCAACCAAACCAAAGAGGCGTTAACCCAGGAGATCAGGTTCTGTCTGTTGAACTATGTAATCAGTTCTGATAGTTGGGTTCAGTTTCAGATCATACAGTATTGGACCGTACCATGTGTGTTTTTATTCATCTGTGCCCTCTAGTGTTGAGCAGTGCCGCTGCATCTTATTGGCTTCTGGATATGGTGTGTATTTCCTGCCAAACCAGGCTTTCAGAGGGTTTTTTTTCTCTTTAAACTCTTGTTTTCACTCCTTTCTTTTTCTAGTTAATCTTCAATAGTGAATGTCAACAAATCCTGAGACCTGATAAACAGAGTACAGACTCTATTAGTCAGTCATCTGCTGGAGGAGCTGCTGAGGTGGACAGTGGACAAGGAGTCTGACTAATCTGATAATGTAGTGAGTGCCGTACAATGTAATAGCTTGTTAGTATGATAAAAAGCCCCTGAATTGGTCAAAAATGTTGAAGAAAAAAAAACATAACAAATGTAATTATTACAATAAATTGTAATTATGACTCGACAGGATTCAATGTACATGATGATGTAGTAATAATTACATAATGTCCTGAATCTTAGAAAGCTATGATTGAATTAGTTAAGTTACACTACACTCTTTAAAAAGTCATAATAACTGCTCTGTGTAAACTTGTAATGTTACATTATCCAGACATGTGTTGTATTAACAGATTTCATTACTTGTGCAACCCGTTAAGATGGAATTTTTATTGCATTTTGTTATTCTGCAAACATTAAAGTCAATTGCTACGTATCCTTTTAAATGTCCTTGTCCTTCCCGGCAATGAAAATAATTATAATTCTGTGATGACTGATGATGACTTAATAGTTCATAAGTCTTCTAGCCAGTATTTGTATGATCCAAACAAACACAATCACGCTCTCTTCAGTGATTTTGTTTGTTTTATTGCAGTTCTCTACATATTTGTTTTATGTCTTAAAGCATTATTTCTGAATATTCTCCAGCTTAACTTTAGGTGACTCAATAATCTTAAAAAAAAAAAAAAATAGGACAAACGAGGACAACTGTACTTTGACACAACTCTCTTTTATTGGCCACATATCAGTGTCAGTTCACTGGTCAATACAATACAATCTCATGGAGTGTCTGACTGATCGCTTTTCTTGGAAAGCAGCATAGTTCTCTGTTTGACCCACTTTATTCCAAAGTCACAAGCATCCAGCTTTTACACTTTTCACCATTATATCTTATATGTATATGTTAGCATTTACTTAGCTAACAGCATGTGCCAGTTGATACAATTATTAGCAAAATAATGAGCCGAATAACAATATAACACTTTGTCCACAACTGCTAGTCACGTACAATGTTTGAGTAGGGGAAGGGGTAAATGGTAAGTTAGGGGTTAAAGGTCGAAAGTGATTGTATGAAAAAGAGAGAGACGGACACAGAGAAGCAGAGATTGTACACAGAGGAGAAAGAGGGACTGTTCTCTGCTCATCATGGATTTCTCACCTGGAGTTGTGATCCTGTGTTCTCTGTTATGTTCAGGTAATGAATCTGATTTACTTTGAACAGAATAACGTCTGATTTAACAGATGTTTCTGCCTTTTTGACAGCTTTTCTGTTCATCTGCTTGACGTCTCTAGATATGTATATATTATTTTTGTATGTATAATTTTTTCATGCTGTGAGCGCCACAAGCAGAAATCTATAAATCTGCGTAAATCAACCCAAAATGCTCTACTTATTTCCTAATTTGTAGTTTGGGTAGACCAATCTTTAATATATTCATATAAAAGTTTTCGAGCAGAGTGAAATAATTTTAATATTCCTCACTGACGAAATGTGTTTGACATTTCTTTTCGAGGTTTTATTTTTTTTATTTTTTCATTTTTGTGCTTTTTGCTGTTTTGCTTTGTCATCAAAAGCACTTGATCACCTGTTCAATCTGTGTATTTGCTCTGGTTGTTTGCTTTGGGGTTGGTGTTCGTTTACACTGTATTTTACCCAGTCCTGTCTAAAGGTTCACAGAGTTGCATTGGACGTGTGTGTGTGTGTGTGTCTCTTTCTGTGCAGTGGCTGGTCAGGCTCCTGTCGTCTCAGTGGAGCCCCGGTCTGCTACTGTGCGCCAAGGGGAGTCTGTCAGCTTTAGGTGCCAAGTGAGCAATGGTGCAACAGCCAGTTCCCTGGTGTGGAAGAGAGCCAATAACCAAGCATTACAAGGTCAGGAGTACTAACATGTAAGCATAAGAGCTGTTCATACAATATCACTATCTGTAAACTTCGAACTGATTTCGACGTTTTCCTTCTAGACAACATTAAGCTTGGTCCTGGTGGCTCTGTGCTGACAGTTGCTAACGCCCGACCTGGAAACCAGGGCCAGTACCGCTGCACGGCATCCAACTCTGCAGGCCGCAGCACTGCCACAGCTGTGCTGAACGTCAAATGTGAGCTTGACTTCATAATTCAGTTAGAAACCGTCTGCCCCTGTGAAAGAATAGTTTATGTGGCCTCCCTTTTATTAAAAATGGAAGAGTCATACTTGGAATTTCTGTGTTGGTCCTGTCGTGGCATGCAGTATTGCCACATCCTGAATGCTCAGAGCATGGACAATGGAAAGGGAAGGCAGTTTATTTATAAAGCACGGTGTGAAGCTAGGTGTTGTACAGTGAAGTTAAAAACAGCTCAAAGACAAAAGAACACAGTTTTAAGTTTGTCATTTTCATCTACACCATGTATCAGTGTGTGACTCACGATCAATATTTTTAGAATCAGTGTGACAGTGTGAGAGGCGGCACTTGCATTGATGAACCCACAGATAATTATAACCTGAATATGCAGCTCATTGTTTTGCTGACCACCCCATAAATGTACTGTTTTGGATCACTCTCTTACCTTATAGTATAAACCCACTGTACGCTACCTGCTCAGCACCAAACAGCAGACAGACATGGTTAGCGACTAGCTGGTGAACACAGCGGAGCATGCAGCAGCTAAGGAGTCAGATATTTCCTTCAGGAGTTGGTAGAGACCAAAAACAGGTTAAGGAGAGTGAATATTGGACTTGAATTCACCAGGTTGCCAGAAACACAACTCCAAATGATACATTTTGCTCTGTAACTGCTGGATGTGTAAATAAGCAACTGTTTGCCATATCAACTTAAAAGGTGATGAAACAATGAATTGTGACCAAAACTTCTTTCAGCCATTGCAAATCAGTCCCTGCATGTTAAATGTGTCTGTCATGTGTTTGTGTCGTCTCTGTCAGTTGCTCCAAAAGTGCAGCTGACACCAGCAGGGCCCCTGCGGGTCAGAATGGGCGAACCTGTGTCAGTGGAGTGTCGTGCCACAGGCAGGCCACGGCCCAAGCTGACCTGGAAACGCCAAGGCTCCACCCTGCAGTTGGTTACCACGGAGACGAATGATGTCAACACCATACAGGTGAAATATGAGCACAGGTACTTTAATTTATATCCTCATTTTAAGATACCAAACCTAACAACTTCCATCTCTTCTCTCAGTGGCCGGCAGTGCATCCAGAGGACTCAGGAGTTTATATTTGTCAGGCTGAAAACAATGAAGGGGTGACAGAGGTCAAAGTTGAGGTCATTGTTGAGGGGGGGCTAGGAGCACCAGTGGCTTCAGTGAGCACTACAGAAATGACAGTGGTGGAGGGACAAACAGTCACGATGGAGTGTCAGGCCACTGGTAAGGTGCTTGTGTGTGTAACTATCTCTCAGTTCTACTCTTACTTCTCATTTTTCACTTGAACCTCTCTATCTCTTCTTCCTTCCAGGCTCCCCTGTTCCTGTCATCACCTGGTCCAAGCTACGAGCCCCATTGCCATGGAAACACACAGTGGCCGGTGGAGTTTTGACACTGACCAGCGTGGGGCGCCAAGATTCAGGACAATACATCTGTAATGCAACCAACGTACATGGCTACAGTGAGGCGTACACCCAGATGGAGGTGGAGAGTGAGTCGAGAGATAATAAACTCAGATATTGTACATCCAAATTCTTTCTCCCTGCTCATGATAAGAGTGATTGTCTTCTCCTTCATTCAGGTCCTCCATATGCCACCTGCCTGCCTGACCAGGTGAGGCTCCAGCCCGGAGATGCCCTGCGTGTGCAGTGTCTTGCCCACGGCTCTCATCCCATTCGGTTCCAGTGGAGCCGGGCGGGCAGGGCGAGCCTGCCTGCAGGAGCCGAGACCACAAAGGATGGAAAGCTGCTCATAGCCCACGTTAAACTGAGTGACAGCGGAACGTACAAATGTGTAGCCACCAACCACATCGGCTCCAGTGAGACACTGGCCAAAGTCATTGTAAAAGGTGTGCTTGTGTTTGGGCTGAGGCCATTCAAACTCCAACAAAATAACTGATCTGACTTTCTCCCTTTTCTTTTACTATCTAATCTTGTTTCTTTGCTTATTTTTTACAGCTTAACCCATTGAGGTCACACTGTCTCTGATTGACAAACCATCTCTGCAGCGCTTACAACTTCCACAAGCCTGGATTGTAGCCATCAAGACTCTCAAATGGTTAATACTGAGAAATCAGAGAAAATTATATTTAATAGATTTATATATTTTAAAGTGAATTTAAAATATATCAATGCTGGTTAAACTTTTGGTTTTATTGTGCATATGGGGTTAATTTTGTACTTTTATAGAAAACTGATACTGGTGCTATTGTTGCCCGTATTTTATATCTGCTTTTGGAAAAGCTTTGTGTGTGTGGACTGACATCCTACACTATGTGTGGGAGTTTCTGTTGCAGGAATGTCTCTGCATGCTGTCTTCCTCCCTTCATGTCAAGTCTACACTGTTGCACTTCCAAAATAGAAAGAAGGGCACAAAACAAACAAGTAACGGATCCAATAGAAAAGCCTTTATTATGCCATTGAATATCAAAACAATAAAGACCAAATTAATAAAAAGTTTCATTAATTAAAATGAAAAATTATGTTGTCATGTTAAGTCAAGTGTTTTACAAGATGGTTGGTGACGTGTATCCAAATTAGGGACTGTATGAAAATTATTAGGAGAGAAGTGGGGAAGAAGTTATCCCCATGACCTGTAAACAGACTTTGATGCAGAGTTTCCCTTAACCATTTGGGTACCAGACTGCTCCCTTATGTAAGTTTTAAGGAACACAGAATACACTTGATGACACCCCTTGAATGGCCACTACAATCCTGCCACAGAAGTGAGTCAATGTCCGTAAGGCCAAATATTAAAATTCCAAACTTTACAACTAAATAAACATGTTTACTGCCTGGTACAAAAATAGGGTTTGGTCTCTATATCTAAATTCCCTGTTCATGACAACTGTACAGGGGTTGAATTTGTATATAATTCAACTGTTTAATTATTTCAAGGCTTGAAATTATGCATAATTAAGGGAGTGGCTGCTTTTAGTGACAGGCGGCTGTTTTCAGTAACCATTCAGTCCGCCTCAGTTCCACTGACGCTCCAAATATTTCTCGAGAGCCGGTGGAGATTGCTAAAACGGCGACGGCCAGATCTGACCACAGCGGCTCTTCAGAAACCTATGGGTGTAGTCATGTGCACTATTGCTTTTGAATTATACAGCCTGGGTGTACCAATGTAACACTGTTATATTATTTTGAGACATTACAGTGGAGGGCTTTGGACCTTTTCCAAAGTCCAGTAGAGGACTGCCTCCACACTAATAATTTTCATACAGTCCCTTAATGTTTAGAATTTGCTGTCATTTCTGAAAGATTATTATCTAAGCTTTGCTTCACACAGTCGTCTCTTTGACCACATGGTGGCAATATATAGCTTTAAGGCACACACACTTGCCGTCAGTCCCAAGAAGAGCAATTTGAGCCCCCACACCCTTAACAACTGGTGGGACAGATGCAGCACACAGTCAACCTATTGTTTTCCCAATGATTACATGTCATGTCTAAGTTTAAAAAAAGCCCAAACTTTTGGCTGATCGTTGCAGCTCTCTGTGTAAATATGGACTGTAAACTCCTCTTCAACAGGCAAAGTTCAGTTTGAGCAGACAAATGTGTTGCAGAATGAAGCACTGACGGTTGTGTTTTTAGAGAAAATTTAAAGCAGCTTTGACTAAATGAGGTGTTAGCTCGACATTTGGGGTTTGTGGCTTCAGCAGAAGGTTGACGAGCTACCATTTCCAAAGCTGCTGCCAGGACGGAGCCTGTATCTGCTGCTTGTGATTGTGGCCTCCCTCGTAAAAACGCCCAACCTCCACGGAGAAACATGCTTTACCCTTTCCACTATTCCCCCCTCCATCTTTACAATCATCTTCAAAGCTGGGGAGGAAACATCTGCCCTCTGTCACCTCACTCCACCCCCTCACTTCACAGACAGACTGAGGGAGGGGGGAAAAGACAAAGAAGACTAAATAAATACACTATAGAGGATATTAGAGGAGGGAAATAAACACACTATAGAGGATATTAGAGGAGGGAAATAAACACATATTTTTTATTTACGAAAAATGAGCCACTGAGATGGAACAGAATGAAAATGACAGAGAGGAAACTCTAATTCATTAAATCTGATCCCCCTCTCTCTCTAGGTAAGCCTTTGTATACATATTCACTAGACGTGGACATATGGTCTTTAATGGAGTCTGATATAAACAGTGAGGTTCATAAGAGTCCAGATGACATCGCAGAAAAAGGATGTGCGCACACACTCTCCCAGATAGTTTGTCACAATTTCAGAGGCACTACATAAGTTTATATAACAGTAGGAGTACACAACAGCGTTGCATTTACTCTGGACCACACATTGCTTATGTTAGTCTGAAGAGGCGAGGAAAGAGAAACAGAAAGACAGCTGCATCAGCACACAAGGAGAGTAAAATATAATATATATTCCACTAATAATTAAAAACTGTTTTCAGAGTATTTTTGATAAAGACCAGTGTGATGTCCTTGCAGTAATAATATGGGAAAACCAGATCATTCAGGAAGGAACCAATGAGGTGAGAGCTTCCCAAGGAAGTGATAGGTGGAAAGAGGGCGCCTGTCAGGTCTGTTGCTATGGTTTCCACCTGGTGAACTTGGATAAGCTGCGGCGGGGCAGTGGCCTGTAGAAACAACAGTTCCTTCGGACATAGGAAGGCAAGCTGATGGGAAGATAGGGAGTGGAGTTCCTGTATTGTGTTGATTGCAGAGCCAAGAGTACATAATATCACACACTTCTTCAATCTGATCTCACACTGAATGAATTAAATCTTTCTGTTTCTAACTTGTGCAACAGGAAGCCACAAAAATTTCCCCTGGATGTTGATTGTTATGCACACAAAGAGGAAGAGTCAGTAATCTGTCAGTTTAACTGCTGTCAGGGAGGGATATCTCCTGGGCTGAACGAGTCTCTGCCGGGGAAAATATAGTAGTCCATGACAACAATTACTTTTCTAGCCTTCTCTCTGATCTGAATGAATGATGTATGAAGGTGCTTAAAAGCCCAGCCCAGACATATGACACAGCAATAAAGGAACCAGTGAGAATGCTAATATTAGTGGCGCTCAACCTATCGGGAGGTTCCAAGATAAGTATGAGGGGTCAGAACATCATTTAAGGGATAAGAAAGAAAAAAAAGATTCTGTTAATCCTAAATTTCAATGTTCATTACCATTTCTTCACCTTCCTTATTATGAAATGAATATATTACTAAAAGATATTTTCACCTCTTCATACCCCTAAAATTCCTTAGGAATATTTCATTAGTGTGTAATCACTTGAATATAGGAATTGTCGTTACCTTAGAATGAGCCATTTTTATTTACAGCCGCTGCGGGTCTTTCATGAAGTCAGCCATGTTGAACCGTCATGTTTCTACTGTAACCCAGAATGGATAAATCAAACACTGCAGAAAGGGCCTTTTGTGTTTCGTGGCCACAGTAGTTTCTCATACACATTTCACATTCTCATTCACAGGTCATCAAATAAAGATGGCAGCAGTGTTCAGTTCATTGCAGTCTGCAAGTTCACCACTAGTTGTCACTAAATACTACACAATGGAAAATGGCAATTTAAAGCTCTAATAAACAAACTGTACACTACCTGCTCAGCACCATGTAGCAGACAGTATTGGATCATTTAGCAGCTAAAGAGCCAGATATGGAGTTTGTGGAGACTAAAAACAGAGCTAAAACGAGATGTAGTTTGAATCTACATGCATCTTATGGACTCAGAAACAGCAACAGCAACTTTATAAGGTGATAATGTCAATGTCAGGGTTGTGTTTATAGCTTGTTTTGCTGACCCCTAGTGGTAAAGAAAATAAACTAAATAAAATATTATGACACAAACTATACTTGTATTTTAAGGGGTCACAAGCCAAACAGTTTGGGAACCACTGCCGTAAGAGACTTTGAATGAAAAAACTGAGGAGACATTGTTATACCTTGAATTTTGTTTTTTTAGTTGTTTTATAAATCTAAATGTTCACTAATATATACATCCTGCTGAAGGCTGATATAAGCAAGCGTTGTAAAACCTTGGTTTGCTAGGTTGCGTCAGAGATTGAGTGTGCATAGAGTATATCTATAATTTGCTACCTCTGCTGTTTCCGTTCTTGGTTGCATAGGTGTACATTTTCACACCACGGTCTTCATGCAGATTCAATCTGTCAAGAGCACCTGGCCCCTGCCTGAGTCAAATAGTTTTAACAGTGAAGCAAATAAAAAAGAGGGCTGTTAAAGCATTTAAGGGGTCTGTGGAAGAATAAGAAATCAATGACTCTATAACTGAATCATTTACAATCCTAGTCACAGTATACTGTATGGTTGTTTTAATTCTACATTTCAATGTTCATTATCTTTTTTTCACTTTCCTTATTATGAAATTAAATTCTCACTTGCACTATCCTGGTACAAACCTTTCTGCATAAAGTCATCTGAGAGTAGAGTCACTTCTTCTTCACAACACAGAAAACATATGTTTGTCTTAGTTTGATGTGTTTTGTATATTAATTTTGATTCTCCTAAAACCCTTTTCTGATTATATTTGTCTGAGAGATTTAATAGTAGGGCAGTTGTAGGTGAGGATAGTACATAATAACAGCCCAGCAGTGGTTGACATTAGAACACAGTCATCTCCATCTGGCAGCAAAGATGCTGCTGCTGCTTGTTGTTGGTGCTGCTTGTTGCTTGGCACCATAAATACAAACCACTAGTGGTACGTCCTGTGACTGTGGCCTTCCCTTCTTTACTCAACATTTTAACCACATAATAGGTTGTTTAAATCACACATAAGGTGCGTACACTTTCACCAGCTCGCTCTTCTTCCTGTATTGTTACTGCTACGTCTTTTGAAGCAATGACAGATTCAAGAAACCTTTCAGATTCTCAGCAACAATGGTGTATACAGAATGTGTGTGTGTGTGTGTGTGTGTGTGTGTGTGCGTGCGTATGTGAGTGTGTATGTGTGTGAGTGTACCTTGCCTCATGACTGCATATCACTGGTGTATGTGGCGTCAGAAGGAAACCACTTGAGGTTTGAAAAAAGTTTGAGCGGCACATTTGGTTAAAAATATGAGGTATAAAAGCAGAACGAAGAGCGTGGTGTACTGACTGTTCAAAAGCTACAGACAGAGAGCGTTTGGTACAACATGTTCAGTACACCACACGTTTTACTACTGTTAAACCAAACAACATAGATTTTTTGAGTTTAGACTGCAAACCGAAATTATCTTTTTTATTGTTAAGTACTTTACTAAACAAAATTTTTCTCTAATTTTGTTATTTTCCTTGCAATTATTGTCCTTGCTTCTATTAGAATGTAAACCATTAAACAAATGGAATTGTAGTGACCCACCATTAATAATAATGACATATGATTTATTATTTGCTCACAACAGGCCAATTAAAGTAATTAAACTAAAAAAAAAAAAATAAATTCACTATGAGCAATAACCTTAACAACA